AGGGGCTCGGTCCCCTCCTCACAGGCTCCAGCAGCAGCACCCTGCCTTTGGCAGCACTTGCCGGCTGGCCAAGCGCTGGGTCAGCGCCCAGCTCCTGAGTGACAACATCTCTGAGGAGTGTGTGGACCTCCTTGTGGCATTTCTCTTCCTGCACCCAGCCCCCTTCACGCCGCCCAGGTGAGGATGAGGAGCCCAGGCTGGCCTGATGGGGATTTAGTGCCTTTTTCCTTACCTGGGATAGAGGAGGGATGGGATGCTGCTAGGGCAGGAGGTGCTGGGAGGGTGCACAGCAGTGAGCATGAGGCCCCTGTGCTGCCAAAATGCTGTCCTAAGCCCTGTTGACAGCGGCTGGCCAGAGGAGATGGAGATGCTCCATGCTGCAGGGCTGTGGCTTCCCCCGCCCAGTGCGCTGAGGGGGGGAAGGAGGTAGGGATGGGAGCAAGCGTCTTCATGGCTTCTGGGTGCTGGTGGCACAACCACGGGGTGTCTTGTGCCTTCTTGAGGACTGGTGGGGCCCCTTGTCCTGCGGGGGATGGCCAGGAGAAGCAGGGGTAAGGGCTGCATTGTGGCTACCAGCACGCTGGGGCTCCTGAGTTCCCTCGGAGGGATGTTACGGTGGTGCAGCCTCCCTTCTTCCTAGAGAGGATTCCCAAGGGAACAGTGAGAGGTCAGCCACTGAAAGCTGAATTGGAGTAGCATGTTGGTAAATAACCCCATGGGGCCAGTTGCTTGCTGGCCCCTGTCAGGTGGACGGGATGCGGCCCAGAGGGAGTGAAATGAAGTTCCCAGAGGGAGTGAAATGAAGTTCCCAGAGGGAGTGAAATGAAGTTAAGGGAGTGTTTTTGCTCCGTGTGAAGCCAAAAGGTTATTCTGCCCTGCACTTGGGGTCTGGTTTCCGTCGTCAAAGGAGCAAGGAGTAACAGGCTGATGCCTCGAATGTTTTTCTGTCTCCTAAAATACCCTGCTAGCAGGAGCCCCATCGTCCCAGCTGACTGGCTTCATGCACATGTAGTGTCACAGGGGAAGAGGCACACTGGGAGCTTGGCTGGCATTGTTCAGAGCTGCACTGGATATTGGAGCAGCCCTCTCTCCACCTCCCTCTTGCTCTAACCCTGGGAGTCCAGGTCGGGGGAGTGGTGGGAGATAGGGCGACTGGGGGCAGTGTTTCACTTTTTGCTGGTTTCTTTTACTTGGGGAGGGAGGAACAAGGGAGAAAGACTTTCCCCAGGGATTCAGAGAAGGGGAAGCGCCTCATGCTTATTCTGTACTTCCCTCTCCCACCATGGACATCCCTTCTTGGGCTGCGTGTGCTGGGCATCGCTAAGTCACCCCTGAGCCCCTCTTGCTGCCAAGGGAGCAAATGCTGGTGTTGAACTGTTTTGTCTCGCCTGCAGCTCTCCCCAGGTGGGGTTCCTGCGCTTCCTCGACCTGCTGGCAACCTTCGACTGGAAGAACAACCCACTGATCGTCAACCTGAACGCTGGCCTCACAGGTGAGCAGGCAGCATGCAGGAGAGCTGCAGCGTGAGGGTTTTCAGTCCTCCTTGGTCAGCGCCTGGCTCCAGGGGTCTTAGATACATGAAGGTGCCATGGCTTCTCCTGTGGGCAAGGAGATTTTCCCCTCCTGTAGTCCTGTCCTGCCATGCTTTTGAAGCCCTCTGCTCCTTCGTAGCCATCATTTTTGCTTGAGGCTTTGCCCTGGCTCTTGGGGGCCAAACCTTCAGTTGTGCTGGGAGAGCAGTCGGGCTCTTGAATGGGAAGCTTCAAAGCCTCCTGCGCTGTGTCTGCTTTGAGAGCACTGCTGCACCACTCATCCCGGGGATGATCCTACTAGTCCCTGATTTCAAAACCTGCAAGGGAAAAGGGCTGCAATCCTCCAGGTTTTGTTACCTCCTGAGCATTGAGAATTTCCTGGTAAAGGTCCCTGGTTTCCGAAGGAGCATGTTGACACATCCAAATGGACCTGCCGTCCTGCCCTCTTCCTTGTGTTTTGTCTGTTGATTATCTTTCGGGTACGTGCTGTCTTTGCCCAGGAGCCAGAAAAGACTATGGGATTGCATTGGCTTTGGGTGGTGGTGGGGTCGGGGAGATTGCTACACCCAGCTTTTAAAGCTGATTTATAAGAAAAGGTAAAGCTGCTTGGTAGTGGTGTGTGCAATGCAGGAGGGAGCAGCTGTTTCTGTGGGTTTCAGCACTCCCTCAACTTACTCTTTTTTTGAGAGAGACAGTAGGGTTTTGGAAACTGATATTTTTCTACCCTCCAGCTTTTTTTAATGAACCAAATGGGAAGTGTTTTTGGCCAAAGAGCTATTTTTTTTCCTCACTTGAGAGGGGTGTGTGTGTGGGAAGTAGAAAACTCTTTGGGTACAAACTCTTGTTAGCTTATAATGTGAGTTCCCAGCCCGTGTCAGTCCCGGTGCCTGCCGTGTCTTGAGCCATGTCTGGGCCTGCCTGGCTGGGTTTAGAGCAAAGGTCCACCTAGCCCTGCATCCTGTCTCCAAAACTTCCTGCAGGTGGATGCTGAGGGAAGCGTGAGAGCAGAGCAAGCCCACGGCGATGGAGCTCTGGTTGCACGTGGACTGTGGGATCAAAGGGTGGGAGAGGATAAAGCCTGTTGTACTGCCCTTTTCTGGGCTGCAGCACATGGGCGAGAGGGCTGGAGGGCTGTGGATGGGGCAGAACATCTCACCCATCTGCTTGCCCTCACCAGATGCTGACCTCACAGAGATCAAGAACAAGTTTGTGGCTGCTCGGTCTCGTCTCCCCATCATGTTCATCGCCACCCCCAAAGACCAGTGGAGCTCCATGTGGACCCAAGAGCGACCCTCAGCGCAGGTGTGCTGGGCCCTCTGTCCTTGCCCCATGGTGGCTGCTGGCTTGGGGCAGTTCCTTGCTCCCAGTGCTGGAGCCAGCTCCAATGGCCCTGTGAGTGAGCGGGGTCCCTGCTACATCCAGGACTGCCGAGTTTCACCCTCTGGCTTTCTTCCCTCCGCAGATCCTGCAGCGCCTTCTTGTGCTGGCCTCAGAGTCTCTCCGTGCCCTGGAGGAGCAGCTCATGGACCCGCTCAACAGCCAGGATGTAAAGGTAACCCCTTGGAGTGCCAGCACAAGGATTTTCAGGCTCTGGCTAAGCATACTGGTCTTCAGTGATGATTGCTGGGATGTGTTAGTAGGATTCAGGCTGTGGCCACGTGTGGTTGCCCCAGGATGAAGAGCAGCAAGGATGGGAGCTGGGAGGCTGGTGCCCCGCTGTGCCACCTGGCTCCTGGGGGACCCAGCTCTGGATAGCAACTTGGGATGAAATATCATTGACTGGGGAAAATTTATTTTGTATTCTCTGGTTTTCTTGGGGCACAAGCAAACCTGCAATGTTCCCCTGCAGAATTGGTTGCATGTCCGTGGCTGGAGCACATGGTGCCTCTGGGAGACTCTGTCTTGGTGTAGCTGTGCAAATCTGGCTTGTGTGCTTGAGTCTAACCAAGCCCAGGGTGGTGGTGGTTTTGGCAGGACGCTAACAGGCACTTTAGGAAGATGTGATTTTGGTTTGAGCAGAGGAGCAAGGCCATATGTAGTTTAACCCTCTTCATTTTCTCTTTTAAGTTAAAACATCCATTACTCAAATGGACCTGCGAGATGCAGACAGTTATTTGCCCTTTGAAGGGAGATACGTGTGTTTTGGAGGGAGCTTGTTGGTATACCGAGTAGTGACTTAGGCAATTGAAGCTGAGAGGACTCAAAAAGCCAAACAGTGGTTAGATATGACAGATTCACCTTAGAAAAAAACCCACACAGAGTGGTTTTTTTTTTTCCTGCCTAGGCAATATAAAAAGGATTTACCGACCTTGCTTTCAGTTCTGCTGTGTTTTGCGCTGGAAGTATTACAGGGGTGAGATCTACTTGAGGTGGGAGCAGTGTGTGCTAACTGGGCTACGAAGGGGTGAGATGCTGTACACGTGAGATGTGCCTGGTGTGCCACAGTTGCAGTGTGGACCCAAGTCTGAAACCCAAGAGGTGCCGTGTGTACTGGAGGGTGGTTAGCTCCTGAAACAAGCTGCCACCTGTCCAGCATCCTCCCAACTCCTCGACTCAGGCTCCTTGGTCCTCCTTCCCCCTCCCCTCCCCTTGGCCATTGCAGCAGGATCCTTTGTCATCTCCAGGGTGTCCCTCTGGTCTGTACCAGCATCCTCCCAGGCCTGCATCATTCCTTAGGGATAAACATGGGATGCTGTTTCCAGGGCTGCTAATCTGTTTAAGCAAAGCGTGGGGACGGGAGGAGGAAAGAGTCTTTCCAGTGCAACTTGGAGTTGCCTCCTCTTCCCATGTATCTAAGAGAGTGCTCCAAGTTTTTTTTGTCTGCATTTGAGTCGCTTGGGGATGTGCCTGCTCTCATGCAGATGCAGACATGGGTTTGTGAGGTCTGTTTCTTTGCCCCCAGGGGGATACAATAAGCCATGGACTTGGTCAGCTGGGTGGGAAAGGGGGTCTCTGTGGACCAGAGCTGGGACTCAGTGCTGGTCACTGGTGTTCTTCATGTGTGTTCTCCCCAGCCTGGCTATAAAATAGCTCCGAGCAGTGGGTTTTCTGCCAGCACCAAGTTGGGCAGTGTCCCACGCCTCTGTTCATGTCCCTGCATCATTTATTCCACAAAAACATACACATAGTTTTAATTTTTTTTCCATTTTAATACAACTGTACCCACTGTGCCAGATCCTGCCTGTCCAAATATTTATGTGGTTGGGATTGCTCCCCTCCATTAATGGGGCTTGCTCTCATCCTCTGTCTGCTTAATGGAAGATGCTGCTGCCCTCTGGGGCAACTCCTGTTGGACAGATGGGACTGTCCTGTTATTACAGAGCTCCTCATGTCCCCTGGGTGTCGTTTGTCTCCTGTTAGCTTCTTGACTCCCCTCTTTGTTCTGAGACTCTGCCACATGTGGTGCGGTTGCCTGTCTCAGCTCACCGTCTGTCCCTCTCTCGACTGCCCACCCCACTGTCGTGCGCTCAGGTGGGCTTTCTGGGGTCTCTGGTCAGGGCTGGAGAGGACCACATTGGCCCCGTGGGAAGCTCTTCTCCAGGGACTGTCCCCAAGTCCTGGGGACAGCGGTTAGATTTTTCTGCTGATCTGGGAAACCAATAACATAAAGAGTGTAGTCCTTCTGGCTAGATGTCTGATGTGGGTAGGGAGCATCTCCCTTCTCTAAGGGTTGAGCTTGCTGTACAGTTGGGCTGTGGCAATCGAGTGTGTCCTTCCTGGTGCACTTTGGGGGTTCAGAGAACATTTAGCCCATCTGCCAGAAGATGGCCATGGGGGAACCACCTTGCTCTCGACAAGAGTCCTGGTTACAGCACTAGCATGGGGTATAGGGGAGTGAGGGTCACATCCTTCTGATGTGAGCAGAGCCCATGCTGGAATGGGAACGTGCCTCAGCCCAGAGGGAATTGGGTGGCCAGTACTGGCTGGAGCTCCCCGTGGCTCCACCACAGCTGTGTTTTTTCTGTGGATGTTTTGGCAAACTTAATCTCACAAAAAGTTTGGCTTTGGTTTACTGCTTTCTAAAAAGGGAATAAAATGCAAGCGAGGACTTGGGAAACCTCTCTCATCTCTTCTGCTCGCCTGTGTCCTATATTGAGTAGCACTGGTCTCTTCTCCCTGCAGATGGTCTTCCGCCCTCCTTTGGACTTTTACGACGTCCTAATCCACCTGAATCCAAACCAGATTCCTCGGCATCTAGAGAGCGTGGACCGGCCACTAAAGTCGTTTTCCCGGGGCGTGGTGAAGAACAGCACTGCAGTGAAGATCCTCTTTCCTGTGGTGGATTATGACCCTGTACAGTGTTACCTCCAGGAGCTGAGAGTAAGCACAGCCCTTTGGGGAGGCATAGGGGGCTACCTGCCTAAGGGGGAGCTGCCTTCTGGCATTCAGGTCATTAGTTGCCTGCCGCTGCAGGACCTAGTTGGTGACATCTTTATGTATTTTGCATGTCATGGTCTTTGTGTGCATCTGAAATCGCTTCTTCAGCAGAAGACCTGGTGAATGAATCACCCATTCCATGGAAATGGGAGTGCTGCTGATGTGAGAATGACCTCAGATACAAAGCACCTGGAGCTTTTGATGAAGAATACGATATTTCAGTGCAAAAGTATCTTTAAGCCATTTGTCTCTAGTCTGTTAATTGACTTTTTGTGACTTCTTGCACCAACTGGGGTGCATGATGGACAGTAGCTACCCGTATTTTCTGGGGGGATGTACAGGAATCCATGGCATGGTACCCATAGGGCTCCTGCTGTTAGGCCAATCGTTGCATGAGCCGTAGATGCTGAATATTGGTCACAGGATGGTTTCTCTGGGGCTGGTTATATGCATGATGGCAGAGGAAGTTGGTAATGTGGGTATATGGAGAACATCAGTATCCAAAGTTACCAACCCAGTGCTTTTCTACTGTGTAGCCATGCCAAAGCCTCAGCAAGCTGGGGAAATATGCAAGATGCTGGGTGGCAGCAGTGATCCACACTGGATCTGGACAGCCAACGCTTCGCAGGTGTTCAGCCTCTGCCTCTTTGGCCCTTCCCAGCTTTGCGTGCAGTAGCTGAGTAAATGTTAGTGTGCAGTCATCCCTTACCCACAGAAGTGCTGTGAGCAGTGTCAGAACTGCTGTAGGAATTGTAGGCTGGCTTCGGCAGGAGGGGTGCTGCGGAGGTGTCTGGCCCCGTTCCCCACTCAGGGCAGAGCCTGCTTTGATGTTACAGCAGGCTGTGCAGAGCCCAGTCCTGTTGAATGCTGACTGTGTCCAGGGGTGGAGATTTCCCACCTCCCTGTCCCAATGTTTGGCCACCATGGTGAACATTTGTTTCCTAATATCTGACTGGGATTTCCCTTGTTGCAGCAGGCTCTTCAGGTCCCTGCGGCAGCCGGGCTGTGCTAGTGGCAGCTTGCTGGAAGGCAGAGCTGGAGCTGGAGGGGCTTCAGCTTTAGCTGTGCTCTGGCAGCTCCTGGCTGTGGCCCTCCCGGCCCTCCTGGGCAGCATTGCAGGTCAGAGGGTTTTCCTCTTGCCCTTCTCCTGACCAACATGCCAGGAGGGTTTTGTCCACCTTCCTGTACGCTTCTCTTGCCTGAAGATTTGGTATCAGCTTCTCTCCAAGCTTGCGTTGGGGAAGGAGGTGTGCCCACAAAAGAAAAACAGTTTTTGGGTAGCATCTCTTCTCTTCCTGCGCTGCCTCCTGCAGGCTCTGCAGGGTTTAGCATTTGCTGGTCCCCAAGTTGGCTAATCCTGCACAGCCACCGAGCATTTTGGCGCTGCTGCCGCCAGGCTCAGTGGTGGTGGCAGCTGCAAGGAGGGACAGCAGAAAGGGCCAGATCTTACCTCCAGGTCCATAGAAGGAATTGCAGAGGTGCCTGAATTAAAACTCCAGTTCAGGCTGGAAGATGCTGGGCCCTTTAGGTTCAGGCTCCCCTTTCACTTTAACCCAGGTAGCTTAGGAGGTGGCCAAAGAAAACTTGGAAGGGTTTCTCTGAAGGTTTCCTGAACCCTAGGCACAGCCCCGCTGCCTGCCAGCTGCATTTTGTACAGATCTCTGCCCGGTCTATGGGTATCTGCTGTGGCTTCAGTGGAGCTGCCAGGTCTAGCAACGTGCAAGCTCAGTCCTTCTGTTACCCGCAGCAGGTTGGGACAGTTGGGGGGGGGGGGGGGACATATAAGCATTAAACCCATCATCACAAGCATTTCTTGGATTAAACACCACTTGTACAAAACTGTTCTGCTCTATTATTTACTAGCTGGTTTCCTAATGAGAGACAGGGATGCATGCAAGAACTCTTTAAATTGAGGAAGACCTCAAATTGTCCCACAATTTCCCTGCAAGTAGCACTGCTTGTTTAGCTGGAGAGTCATGGAGGAGAAGAGCGGGGAGAGAAGGTGCTTAGTGCTCTCCTGTCTTCAAGCAGGAAGGTGGTTTTGAAACTGGATGTCCTGCAGGACACATTGCAGAGAGTATTTGGGGGGTTTCTGGGGGTCCAGGATATGCAAGAAGGAGGTGGAGAAGCATCCTGCACGAGACTTTTAAAAGGGAGCAGGAAGCACAGCAACTGGGAATTGTTCACTATTTCACTCTTATCTGGCATCTGGATGTGGGGAGGAATATCAAGACTGGCCTCTCTCTTCTGTTCCCTGTATGATGAGGATTTCACCTGCCACCATGAAACCTCAACCAAGAAGCATAGATCTGGGTATGAAATGGAGTTTCTTAAGCCTGAAATCTCTCTCCATGCCATGCTGGAAGAGGGGGTTAGAGTTGAATGGAGCCTATCAGCAGCTGCCAAGGCTCTGGAGGTGCCTGCATGCACGTGGCCAGAGCCTCTGCGTCTCTGGAGGGGTCGGGGCTAAGTGGCTCTCACGGAGATGTGGCAGGAGGCTGACTTTGTGCTCAAAGAGGAACTGGAGGCTGTTGGTGGTGGGGGGGGGGAGCCGATGAGGAGAGCAGGCTCCTTGGTGAGGCTGTTAACAGGCTTGCAGCAAATCATGCTGTGTATCAAGGCACTCAATCAGGAAACTTATTGGGGTGTGTTGCAGTTTATAGGACTTTTTTGTACTTCTAGTCAACTCAGTGTCAGCAAATGGCTCCAGAAGTGAAAGGTGCAGAAGAGACTTCTCTGGAAAGCAGCTTTCATTATCCTTTAAGCAATTATGACTTAATGGATCCAATTATGACTTAATTATGACATCCAAACTGAATTTTTACTGTCTGTTTTCTGTAGTACAGGTAATAGTAGACTCTGAATAGGGTTTGGTTGGGTTACAGATTGCAGCTGGTCCTAAATCCAATATACTAACATCCCAGTGAAGAAACATGGATATGAGCAAAGGTTGCATTGCCTCACTGGAAGCAGTGTTGCGTTTGCTTAGTGCCTCTCATTCTTTGGCCCGAGGGTGCTTGGGAGGAACAGAGCAGGAACTGGTCACAGGTTTCTCCAAAGAGCGAACTATGGGGTAGAGAGCTTGAAATCTGCCTCGGCAGCCCTGGCTGGGGGGCTTTTCTTCCTCTTGAAGGCTCTGAGATAGGTATGGCTGTGTTCCCTTGTGGCTGTCGTATTGGAGGTATCTTGCAGTACCAGTTCACTTGGCTCTTGTAGCTTCCAGATCAGTAGCAGGCAGACCTGAAGAGGCTGATGAATATCTCTTTCTGGGCAAACAGGTGTTTCTTCTGGAAAAATCAGAGAGGTGATGCTGCACGTGCTCTCCAGTAACTCAGCCACATCCACCTCTGTGTTGGAGGGCCTCAAAAGCTGACTTTTCACTGCAGGGTCACCAGCAAGCAGGTGATGCATACTGTCCGTTGAAACTACCCCATCAGAAATCATCCAGCTTCGTGTCTCAGTGTACCAGTGTTGTTGCTTGAAGGCAAGACCTGTGCATCAGCTTTGTGCTTTGACCTGGCTTTGATTGGTAGCCTCTTCAGCACCTTTGCATTTCTTCTTTCCTGGCTTCTGCTTCTCAAAGCAGTGTTCAGCTCATCCTCATCCTGAAGGCTGGGAGCCCCAGGGGTGATCCAAACGCAGCAAGAAGTTGGTGCTGGAAAGGAGTGTGGTGACAGCAGTGAATCCTTACAAGAGATTTTGGATGAGAAGGCACTTGGGTACAGAACTGGCTGGCTTTGACGCAGAGTAATTTGCTCTCCCTTAATAGTACAAACCACAGAATTGAGCAACAAACAGGGTTGTAGCCGAGGCTGGCAGGGCAGCCGTGGTGGGTTTATAGCAATGAAGGGAAACATCTGCCATGCAGTGATGCTGTGGGATTTTGTTCTCTTCTATGGGCAGAAAAGAAACATCTGCCCTTCTCTGAGCTTGCCACGTGAAAAAGGGATTTAAATGCCCAGGCATATTGATTGAGTTGAGAGGGGCAGGGATTTAGCATCTTTCCTGGTTACTGGGCCAAGGACACTAGGGAACTCACTTTTCTCCTGTCCAATCTGTTTGCTCCTGAGAGGTCCCTGTTCCTCTCAAATCAAAGGGGTTACCAAGGCAGGAGTGCTCTGGAGCTGAAGGAGTGCTGCGTGCCTTCCCCAAGGAGCCTAATCAGAGGAGAAAATGAAAGGAGGAGAGGTGTTGAGTCCTGACTGCTTTAATTTTTCCTGCTCCAAGGAGATGTGCTGCAGGAGCTGGTCTGATGGAGTTGCTGTGGTGCCTCGGAGGCTCTGGATAGAGATGAAAGGCTGGTCATGGGATTCAGACGGCAAATTCTTCAATTCTAGGACAGATCTGATAGACTCCCAGAACAGACCTTTTCTGTCCAGATGAGAAGGCTTTGCAGACAGACGCTTTTGAGGGAAAGCAGGTGCCAGACGTCCTGCAGAGAGGGCTTCCCTGGAGCCCGTCACCAGCCTCCCTGGTGCCTACGGTCTCGAGCACCTCAGCGAGCAAACCCTGGGTCCGGTCCCAGCGGGTATTCTCCAGCAAGGCTAAATGAAGTTTAAGTGTCTCAGAGATCCCACGGAAGCCTCATTTGTTGTGACTGCTGGTCTGTGTCGTGGTGGCTGTCGAACTGCAGAACCCCCAGCTGTTTGCTGGGGACGTGGTATGGGAAGGCTCAGCCTGCGCAGCTCTCACTCCAGGGTGGCTTGGCTGTCCTTGAGCTCAAGGAATGATCTTTCTGCCCGCAGCCTGTGAGTCCTGTGGATATACTTGCCATGCCCATCTGCATGCATTCAGGAGCTCACAAAGCCCAAAGGCTCTGGTCACCTCCCCAGGGTCCAGAGCTGTTCTCTCATGGTGGGGAAAATCGGATGAAGCTGCCTGTGCCATGTCCATCTGCATGTCTATAATGGCTGTTAGAAGACCTAACATTTCTTACTGGGTCTTTGGTCTCAGTGGGTCAGTGAATGCAAAGCGCTCTCTTTCACTGAGATTTAGCCTTCTCTGGCTACACATGTCTATCAGACAGCTTGTGGCAGAGGGGCTGCCCATCATGTACATGGGAGATCTCTCCCGTGCAGATGAGCAGGAAAATGTTTCCTGCTTTACTGTAAACATCCTTCCCTCTAAAACAATGTTTTGCATTTCTTGCACCTTCAGACAAGACCTATCAGGAATACTTACAGTCCATTCCTTTCTTCCTCCTACGGTGTAGGAATGTGTATCTTGCTACTGCATGTTAGGAAGGAATTAATGATATTAAAAGTTCTCAGTCTCTTACAATATATAAGCTGTGGTTACGGGAGGTAGCTGGAACTGGTGAAATCTTTTCAGGTCAGACTGCTCCCTTCCTGTTTTGACTGACAGGCCTGACTCCTCCTGTGGTGACTTCCAGACAGGCAGAGATGAACTGAAAAAGCTCCATGGGCTCTTGTAGCACAGAGGAAACCTTCCTGTCTGGACCTATGCCCTCGGAGGGGCAGAGGTGGCAGGAAATTCCCTGCTCTTACAGCTTCAGAGCAGCTATGTGACCCTTAGCGTAGTGCCCAGGGTTGGGGGTGGATGCACATGCATGTGCATAGGCACACAGGAATGCATGTGCCTATCAAGGTATCAGCCCCTCGTGCTCCTTGGGTGAGCTCAGAGGGTACCTGTGGCTATGTTTCTCCTGTGTTGGTAATGCCTTCCTAGATGTCTGCCTTGGATTCATCCCATAGGAAGCAACTGAAGACGTTCATCTCAGATGGTTTGGTGGATTGGTGGACAAGACATGTTTTCTAATGCAGCCAGGAGTACATGGGTGGCTTTTTTCCTTGTCTTACTTCTTTGCCGCTGCCCCAAACCCCCAGGACAAGGATGTGCGTGTGGCTCCGATGAGGCACTCAAGAGGTGGAAAAGTTTGGATCATTTGAAATACCTTTTACCAGGTGAATCCCAAACTTAACACCCAGGTTTCATTTCTCTTTTAAAACCCCTCTGACACAGAATTAACCCCAGCCTGGTTTTCTCGACACTGCTCCTTGCTCTGTTTGGGTGTGGGGGAAGGCTCTGTCTGTATCACATAACCTGTGAGCACCAGGGCAGGTCGCAGTAGGATGACAAGGACCTTAAAGTGTTAACTACAAATGTAGTCGTTTGTTGGAAGTAAGTAGCTTTAATAGCGTTTTATGCTGGTAGATCCCTTGCTGAGAGCACTTAAAATGTTCTAAGCACTGAGCAAATGTTGATTGATGCATTTGCCACTTGAACTGCCATCACACCAGGAAGAGCTGGTAGGCACATTTTGGGTGCGGAGGCCTCCCCAAACGGCTCATCTTTTTCCAGCAGCTGGAAATGCAATTATGATGCAATGAGCCTGATCTCTGCGTATAAGTAGGAGCTGTGAAAAAATGGGTGGATAAAGGGTTAGGCCAAAAAAGCCCACCCCTAAACAACAACAATGTAGTTGCTTAACTAGCAATGAGTGTTTACCTCATTGCAAAATCCATGCTTCAGCCTGAGCTGCTTAATCCAGTAATCCCATTTTAGATCAGGGTATTGTTCTACTCACCACCTTTCCCCATCCTTTCATTCGAACAACCCAGATGGCTCTTTACAGACCTTGGGCTAATCTTCTTCCAGGTGCCACGTACCCCTTCCCCGGACTATTAGGCTCCTCTGAATCACAGCCCTGAGCTTGCAGGCCCCCTGTGCCTCTGCAAGATGCGAAGCAGCTGTAAGTTTTGCTGATGGCAGGGATCCTCCTGATCAGGGAGAGCTTTCCCTGGGCCTTTAAAGCTGAATTGCAACCAAAGATAACAGCAGCTCAAGAAGGGAGTAGAGGTTCAAATGTACTCCCTGTCTTTTCTCCTTTTTCTTTTAAACTTTCCCTTGACGAAGGTGTTTGCAGGTTCAGGCAAGCCCAGTGGCACTGGGCATGGAGCATGGGATGTGGAAAGGGAGGTGAACTCTGTTTGCTTTTACTCCCCAAGCCTCTGTACAAACAGAAGTGTGGTGACTAATACACCAGACCCTTTTAATGCTGCAGTTTCCCAAGAGTTGAATGTGCATCTCTGCAGCTCAGTGGAGCTGGCCTGAAGCACTGTCACGTGGACAACGCTGGGAGCAGTGCAAGTGCAGAAGCTTGCCCTTTGCTGGGATTTTGAACTGGATGCCATCCTTTTAACATCTGCCCTCTGCTCTCCACTGTCTGGATAAAAGGTGCTGGGTGTCAGGCCGAGCAGTGGTTTTATTGGGAAATGAGCTGTGCCTGAGAGGACTCCTTCCCTGCAAATGCTCCTGGCTCCTGTCCAGCAAGACATGCCTGTAAAAAATACCTTTCTTGTAGGGAGCCTTGCGTAGCGCTCAAGACCTCGCCCTGTAGAGTAGCGGGGCTTTTTCAGGTTCTCACATGCTCTGCTCCCCGCTGCTTCGGAAAGCTGCACGTTGGCGGTCAGCGTGCTTCTTGCCCTTCATTGAGCTTTCCCTCCCTCCCGCTGTTTGCCTTTCGGCAAAAGGAGGAGTATTCCCTGTTGACTGGGCTCTGAGCGTAACCCGTCACTCTCAACTGAGAAATGCCAGGGCGGGTTGCCTCTTTCTCAATGTATTTTTAGACAGTGGTTTTTCTAGCCAGTTTGGCGAGCTAATGCCTTGACCAGCCTTGCCCCCATGAAGATCCCATGAAGTGGGATGAGCTGGCAGGTCCCAAGATCTTCCCAGCTTGATGGCCTAATCTGTTTGTGATACTTCCAAGTCCAAACTCATAAATCTGGCTCTGAAGGTTGCAGACAACACCACCCCTCCCTGCTTATCAGGTCTTTATTCTTAAAATGCCACCCCACCCTTTGGGATCACTGGTAATACCAACCCAATCCATGTTTTTTTCCTCCTACTGCAATCCTGGTATGTCCATACAAGGCCCCTTCCAAGCTTGCCTTTGATGTTAGTTTTTTTTCATGCACATCCTCATGAAAACCTCATGATACAATGATGCCAACAGAGACTTCTCTTTGTAAGAGCATGGCTGAGTTGCAGCTGGGGAAACTAAGGGGATGGAGGAGAAGGATGAAGAGGGAGCAGAGGGTCTATATTTCTTGCAGTAGGTTGCTCCAAAGCTGGTGAGGCCATGTGCAGAAACTTGTCCTGTACTGATGCTGGAGGCTGTTTGCTCTGCCTAGTAAACATGTGCCATTGCCTGACGTTAACCCCCACCAAGATGAATGAGTGTCAGGGAGCAGCTTCTTGGCTGTCTTGGTCAGCTACGCTCGGGATGCATATCTCCAGGTACCAGCGTGTTGGGTGCTGAGCTGTAGGGCCAGACTTTTGGGTTCGAAAAGTTGCTTGCACCCAGTGTTGTTTACTTCTGCTGCAACGCTCATCCCCTGCCTTCTTGCGGTGCTGGGAATCCAGCTTGCGTGGGCTTGGGGGAAACCAGACTGTGGACTTCAGTCATCTCTTTATGCAAGATCTCTTTCTGAGCTCTCCTGCCCAGCACCACCAAAGGAGCTACTCATTGACACAGCTGCTGAAACATGGGAGCAAGGAGAGCAGATTCCTGCAGTGCCTCCATTGAGCATTTCATCTGTTTGCACCTCACAGGACTTTGTGTTACTTAAATTTTCTGCTGTTACGTTTCCTTTTGGGACACTGTGTGCTGACAGCACAGGTGGGGTTTGTCCTGGGGGAAGAAGGAGCTTTGATACCTTTGTTGCACAGATTGCAGTGCTGGCCTCCAGTGAAAGATCCTTGACTGGGATTGGTCTTTGCTGCCACGTAGTGAAATGTATTGTGGCAGGATTGCCTGCTGGGCAGGGCCCGACTCTTGCATCTGATGCACTGTGAAATCTTGGATATGGCTGTTGGACACTAGGATAAGACAGCTTGGTAGTGCCAGATCCAGCTGATGGGGACCATGGTGAGGAACACTGAGTGGGTTGTTACCTAAGGGGTCCAACGTCCTAAAGCTGGATGCTGATTTCTGAGTGCTCTTGCAAGCCTGTGGGAGGTGGTGGATCATGTTTCTGGTCTCTGGGATGGCAAGAGGTAGCAATGAGGTCTGCATGCAAAACCTGGAGGCAGTGCACTGTATCCGTCAAGGCTGGGGGAAAAGAGGCAGTAGGAGGCACCTAGGGCTTGTCCATGGGCTGCCAGTTGCTTTCCTTGTTGGGAATCCACTGGAAGAGTTGCAGCTTTGGTGCTGGCTGGTGTGGAGCTACTGTGTGTTCCTGTGTAAGGAGACTGAATCAGGGACAGGCTCTTGCTGTGGGATGTCTGGCACAACCTCTGTTTTCTACCCAGGACGCCTTCAGTGATCTCGCCTTGTTCTTCTATGACAAGCATGGTGGGGAAGTGATTGCAGTTTTGTGGAAACCTTTGAGCTTTCAGCCTCAGCCTTTTAAGGTGAGTTCTTGACTATACTTTAAGCGTCATGTTACCTTTATGCCCTGAAAGCTTGGAGGGCTTCTTTTCAGCATTGTAATTGCTTTGTCTAACTCATCAGCCCCAAAGCCCTTTGAGAAATGGTGCTCATACTTCTGTCCCTTCTTAGAAAGGGTGAAACTGAGACAGGGCTGTGGCCACAGTGCCCCTAGTCATCAGCAGAGCTGAGAAGGGAACGTGTGTCCCTGGACAAGCCCCAGCACCATGATCATGCATCAGAATGGTGCTCTCTGTCCCAGGTGCTGTTCTCTGGTCCCCTCCTGGGAGATGGGTGATGCCTCGTTTGCCAAAGACATTTGGTGTGTGCAGCAGGCTGTCCCATTCTTGTGGCTTTGGCTGGCTTACCCAGAAATACCCAACCTGCAAGAAGCTGAGGTGGCAAGCCTAGGTTCATAGTGCCCAAGTCCTGTTGATGTACAGAGATATTTTCCAGCTATATTGTGTGGGTTGGCAAACTCTAGAGGGTGGTTAAGCTAGGTGTGAGGCATGCTGGAATGATTCATGCTGCTTTCTATGAAAGAAAAGACGCAAAGAAACCAGTGACTCATGGCTCAGAGTTGGCAGCCCAGGCTCTTCTGCTGTCAGTCTCTGCGTGATTTATCTCCCCTCTCTTCATGGCCAGAGGGCATTGGCCATTCAGCCTAGCTGCAGTTGTGAAACCCAGTTATTCACAGTGGTGAAATGAGAGGAGATGCATCTGAACTGAATGTGGCTTGATTAAACATGAGGGTTTTTTTACTGGTGGAGCCAAGGATCTGTTCCCACTCAAGGTCTTGACACCCAACAAAGAGCAGAGCAGAGCCCAGGCAGCTCTTACTCAGGGTCATGGTGTGGTCCTTTTTGCATACCCCATCTGCTCTGCTTACACAAGCTCTGCCATGCACCTCCTGCACACTCTTTTCCCATCTCCACCATGCTCCTGGCCATTGCTTCTCTTCCTTCCTTGTGGTCTTCGGACTGTGGCTCCAGGGTAAACCCTAAAAGGGGCTGGAAGGGCCACTCTTTATTAGGTCGAATAATGAGCGATGATGGTGTTGAGAAGTGAAGTTTAGAAAATAGGGTGTAGTGGTGTGGCAGAGGCTCGATGTGATGAGGCACGAGAACAATCTACTTCTCCTATTTGGGGCTTGCAGAGGTTGCGAAGCAGCTCTGAGCAGGTGCTCCCGTTTGTGCAATGTTTGTGTGTGTCCTGCAGGTCTCCAGCATGAAAGGAAGGATGGTGACAACGCTGAACAACGAGCTGGTCTGCATTCCCAATGTGGAGGCAATTCTGGAGGACTTCGAGGTTTTGGGAGAAGGCCTGGTCAAAAGCATTGAAGCTCGTACAGAGAAATGGACTATCTGAGGTCACTGCGAGATGTCCGAGGGACCTGTCCTGTGGCAGAGTTCGTTCATTCTGGGACTGTTCTTTTTTATAAATCAGTCCTAGGAAAGGCTTTCAGCTTTTTAAATCCCAGAACTGTGTGTTTTACTCTATTTATATGCCTTGATCAGAAAAGTGATGGGACCTGTTACTGTTTTCAAGAATACAAATGCCTTTTTATTTTGAAGAAAATATAAAGATGGGATAAAGTTTTTGAAAGTGTTCCTGTTCATTGTAGGAAACAAGTCTGTGTTCACATGAAAATGTCAAGGCCTGAAAATTCTGGCTCAGGTGTGCATTGGGAAGGCAGTTTCCTAGTTCAATAGAGAGTTCATAGCAGCTGCTGTTATTCTAGTGGTTAGCAAAACCAAAGAAACACTGAATCATTCAAAAATGACCAGATTATTCCCTTCTAGTCAGCCCTGGTGAGACATATCTGGCATGCTGTGTCCAGTGCTGGGCTCCCCAGTAAAAGAGAGACATGGACACACTGGAGTGGGTCCAGTGAAGGGCAAGGAAGATAATAAAGGGGTTGAAGCTTCTGTCATATGGGGAAGGGCTGCAGGAGCTGAGGTTGTTCAGCCTGGAGAAGAGAAGAGAAGGCTCAGGGGGATCTTACCAATGTGTATAAATACCTGATGGGGGAGTAAAGAAGATAGAGCCAGGCTCTTAGTGGTGCCCAATGATGGGATGAGACATGTAAATTGAAATGCAGGAAATTCTACTTAAAACACTTTTTTTACCATGAGGGTGGTTGAACACTGACACAGGTTGCCCAGGGAGGTGGTGGAGTCTCCGTCCTTGGAGATATTCAAAACCCAACTGGACATGGTCCGGGGCAGCCTGCTCTAGGTGACCCTACCTGAGCAGGGGTGTTGGGTTATTTCTCTCGTGTGAAATGATCACGGGGACTCCTGAAGGGGAAAGTGAGAGAAATAAGAGGGAGCGAATGCACTAGTCCCACTCCCTCTTCTGATGGAGGCAGCATGCGTGTTCCAACAGCAAAGTGTGGGTGAATCACATACAGAGTAAATAAAACAGGCTTGGTGACAGCAGATATTGAAGAAACAAAAAATAGATCAGGCTTGGAAAGGCAAGTGGATGTTCAGGCGTTTTGATAACTGTAGACAATTGTCGCTTGGTAAGGAGCATTTGGGATGGGATATTAAATCTTGCTTCAAGACCTACTGGCCTCTCCAGCTGTTGGAAGTGGGTCCGAAGCTTTGTGGAGGATCACAACTTATTTTTCAGATTTTTTCTCTGAAGCATTTGAAAGTGGGCTGTGGCAGAGATGTGGCACTGGGCTGATGCTGTCTACCTCGAGCCCATTGATCCAGTGTTTGGAGGCACAGTGTGTCCTGTGGGATAGATACATGCGTGCAGCATCCCTGGTTTTGGGATATATCTGCTATATTAACATCACAAGAAACATTTTTCTCTCTTCCCTGTGCCGGTGGCTGAGGGAGGCTGTAGGTGAAATCCTTTGCCCATCTATTTCTTGCAAGAGCTTTTTGAGTACACCTAAACTGAAAACATTGAAAGCACTTAATGGGCAAAACAGATATCAAACCTGAGAACACAGCAGCACTTTCTGTTGCTACCATGACCACTGCAGCCTAAGAAGCTGCTGACAGGTCCGTTAGCAAATGAGATGCAGGCAGTGATTTCAACAGGTTTCAGAAGCAGTTAATTAAGGATTAATTTTTAAGCTCTCTTCTGTTTTATCATCCTCTAGATGTTGGAATCGCCCAATTTGCCTTCAGCGATGGCTGTAATTTTCCTCAGTAGTCAGATTGTTCCTGCTTTTTGTGCCTATCTGCCTTTGCTCCGAATGTGCAGTTTGACATTGGGATCCCGTAAGTTTGCCATCACAACTGTTGGACAACACTCGAGTTGCCGCACCTGTTTCTTGTGCCAGAGCTCTGCCTGTTCCCTCCATGCCCCGTCCTGCCCTTGCTTTTCCCCTTGCTGTATGTTGCGGATGTAAATGGTTTTGGGCCGGGGTGCTCTCCTCGCTGTGTATGTCCGTGCTTTTCCCTAGGGCAGAGGTGTGTTGCTGAAGCCCGCGTTAGCTTGCAGGGGAGCAGAGCGTCTCCAGCCCCACTGCCGCACCAGACGGATGGGAAGGTCCTGCTCCCCCTTCCCAGGTGCTGTCATGGGATGCGTCCCCCCACTGGCTTATTCCCTGCCTGGCAATATTTACGGAGAGGCGGTCTCTGCTTTTGCTGCTGAGCAGTGCTGTAATCCCCTCTGCCCTGTCCTCCCCAGCCCAGCTCCCATGGTGGGGTAGCTTGTGAGGTATGCGAAGGATATACTCTGTAGGGGTACCCCTGCAGCACCTCTGTTTTTATGTGCTTCTATTATGCTGTCAGGTATTGTATTGCTGCTCCTTTTCCTTTTTTGCCTCTAAAAAGATGTAAAACTGTGTAGCTTCAACCTCCTGTGTATTGGATCTCCTCTCTGCTCCTCCATCCTTGGGTAAAACACTGCCATTTGCAGCTTGCAGCAAAGGGTTGGACAGTGTCCAGGCTAGCCGCCTGCAAAAATAATGATGCCAAGTTAACTGATGATGAACGAACTCATAACCAAACTTTCATACAAGTACCAACCTGCTGGTGTTTCACAAGGTAACGCCACTGTGCTCGGCAACCAGATGTGAGCCTAGGTCAAGCCTGTGCTGCAGATGTTTGCTGGTGTTAAGGTCCATTTTGGTGACAGATAATGGTATCTCAGAAAAGGCCTTGAAATAAATGCACTTAATAAGACTGGCAAAACTGACCACTGCTAACGTAGCTTACATCACCTGGAGGAGATACATCTGTGTCAGCAAAAGTTACCCAACTAACACATTATCCCAGCTGTGCTCACAGTGTTCCTCATGTTGCCAAAGCCTTGGGTGATCCACGGGCTCCTTTCAGAGGAAGAGTAACTCCTCAATGCCCCAAATCCCCCACTATCCAAATGTTTAAAGGCACTTTTGAGCCATTCTGGAGCCCTTGTTTGTACAGTCAAACATTGCAAATGTTCTGGGTAATTTTTTATCATTGCTAAAATCAGACCCCTGTGGCCAATGTGGGTGGAGAAAACCACCTTGAAATTTAGCTGGAAAGCCTGGGGATGCTCTTAGGGACTGGGTGTTGGTGCTGTCTGACTTCTTGAGCAACAGTTGGTATCTAAAGCAACATGCAAAGCACCTCTGCCTCAGGAGCAGAGGGTCCCTGTGCCTCTAATGGGTCTGGAAAGGCAGGAGTCAAAGGAAGAGGGTGTCTCAGGTACGTAAGAGAGGACAAGTGAGGTCTCCATTGCAAACTTTATCTCCTGTTGCCCGATTTACTGCTCTTGTTGGTGTGCCGTGACTAATTTCTATTGTGAAAGCTGGGGTAGGGCCTGGGTTATTCAGAGCATGCTTGTTTGACAACCCGTGCTGGCTTTCCACTTCCAGAGTAGTGCGTGGGCACTTGCTTGCTTGCAGGTGTTTGCTTAGTTGTGGTCCCGTCCATAAACAAGAGCTGTACAAACACAGAGCTGCCCTCGAAAGCCCATGCCTTGTCATGTCGCAAGAAGCAGGACAAGGGGAAAGGGAGGGAAGTGCCAGCACTGAGGCGATAGCAATGGGATTTGACGTGTTGCCACCACTCTGGGTGCGTAGGTGTTGCTACCACGTTGATTTTGTAGAGAGATAGGAGACCTTTGAAGCTCTTTACAGTGAGTGTCCCATGCATGGGGGGTGAGCACAAACGGGGAGGTGTTTCCAAATGCAAGGCTGGGCTGGAGCAATGTTGATATGCTTAGCAGGTGGATGAAGTCAGCCAAGACAGGGCTCAGCGGTATCAGTGTTCTAGCAGACCTTTCCAAAAGTTGGTGTGTCCTCCTGGGCGTTTTCCTGAGCCACCCTTTGGACAGCTTTCTCCTGCAAGGGTCAGCTCGTGCTTTGCAAGGACGTTCTCTGAAAAAGGGTTGTTGGGAGGCAGCTGGTGCTGGCTCAGGAGAGGGGACGGAGTGTTTCTAGAGCCACCAGACCCCTGCTTGCCAGGTGCCCTTGATAGCTTTGAGAGGCAATTGCAAGGTTTATGAAACGAAGCTGGGGAAACAAATTGATGAAACACAGCTGGGATGGTGGGATGATCAGAGCAGGTTGAGTGCTGTGGGGTTTTCCTACCCGCTGAACTGTTCAGCTCTCACTGATCAGGGCCACCAAGATCTTTCTGGAGGCAGTTTGGGGTCTCTCTGGCTGTGTGGCCTCAGGCTGTCTCCCTGAATGCAAGAAGCATGTGTTTCCTGGAAATAAAGGCACTTGTGGGGAGCATTTTGCTTGGGCACCCATAATCACTGGTCATTTTTGAAAACCCTTAGGCTGAATTTCCATGGCCGGCTGGGGAAGGAGCAACTGCCTGTTTTTTGGCACAGAAAGGGAATATCCTCCCCTTGTTTGCTGTTCCCACAGCAGCTGTGCTGCTTGGCTGGGGGTTGGCTTGTTTGCTGGTGTTTCTGTTATCAGGAAAATGCTCTGGACCTGAAGTGATTTTTCCCAGCCAAGGCAGCAGCTTTTGGGAAGCAGCGGTAGCAAAGCGGCTCTGGCAGGTGGCAGCTTTTGATGCGCATGGTCTCCCCGGGAAGGCAGAGTGATGCTGCTCAAGGGGTGAGGGTGGCACTTAGCCAGTGCAGGGTGCACCACAGGGAAGGGAAAATCAAAAGGTCGGGTGGGGAAATTGAAAAATGGGAGAAATGTGGTCTGAAAAGGGGCTGGGGTTGGGAAAGAAAGGGCAGTTTGGCAGTGGGGGAAGAGGTGCTTGTTGCTGGCACCCCAGGTCTGTGCTGGGGGAGCAGGATGAAACTGCAAGTTGCTCAAACCATATGAGCTGGTGCAAAGATGCACCCTCTGGTGCCACGAAGTATTTGCACCAGACCCAAATGCTAAAGGCTCAGGAGCCACCAGGAGAAAAATAAGCATCGGCTATGAGCATGGTGGGGAGGTGCTGCGTGGCTGGTGATGCTGTCGTGGGCTCTTGCAGAGGAACAAACCGAGGATG